CTGATACTTAGCAGCTATGCAACCTCAGGCAACATATTTAACCTTTCTGGGACTCAATTCCCTCTGTAAAATGAGAGTCTTAGACTACATTCCATGCAAGACTCCCTCCAGCTCTCAATCCTGTAACTTTAATTTTCATCTTAGTTGATTTGACATCTGGCTCTGTCTGGGGAGTTCTCTTTTTGTTTGTTCTACTAATACACACACACAGAGACACGAATGCACATATACATATGCACAAATACACACACACACACACACACACACATACATACTCACACATTTTACCATATATAATTTCTCTTAGATTTAACTTGGTCCTGAAAATAGTGAAGTCCAACACACAAAAGGAATATTCATCTTCACATGTTCTTTCCCCATCCTATAATGCCTTCATTCCAATGTCTCTCTGTAAATGTCTTATTAATTTTTTAAGACTCTGGACAAACTTCCTTTATGATGTCAGCCAGAAATGAACTCTTCCTCCACTTTTTTTTTAAGAATAGCACTTTTTGTCTGGAATAAAGGAAATTATTACATAATACATGTATTATATTTGCTTATATGTCATCTTTTCTCCACCAAACTCTAAGTTTCTTGAAAGAAAGGACCTTTTCTTATAGGCCTTTGCACCTAGCATGATGTCTGGAATACAACAGGTTTCAGTAAATGTTAATTAATTGATATTCCAGCAAATGAGATGGGTTTCATTTAGGCAACAGCCTATAATTGCATAAAATAGAAATACAGACGTATCACTTAAGTAGTAATCTTGTTAATGAGAGCCAGAAAGTAATTTCTGCTATATTGAGATAGCACTCTTTGGCAAGGTAGCAGGGGAGCATATTAAAAATTGAGGCTCAGATTCTTAAAATCTGGCCCACTTGCATTAATGACACAAATGCTTAGGTTCCTTAAGAGTCTGGCCAATATGGTGAATCTTTAATAAATCTTGTCTTTGCCTAAAATAAGGCTTGGGTCTAACTCATTTGGGCAGGATCTGCCTGTCATGACTTTGGGGTCCAGTACCCCTAAACCTCAACACTACCACACACCGCAAGTTCCTAACTTTTTTTATAACTTTAATTCAGGCCTGCACAACATATAGGTGCAAAAGGATTTCAGGTGGCTCACAAAAAATGTAAAGGATGTAAAGAAAGTAAAGGCATAGCAAGCGCTTTGTCCATGCCAGCTTAAAAAAAAAATGAGAAGCATTTAGTGTTAGGTACTAATATCCTAGCATACAAATAGGTTGCTACTATTATATGAGCAATTATTACTACCATCATCACTGATGCTACCTACTATTACAATTATAGCAATTTATATAATATTAAAATTGACCTAATGAATTTAAAACCTAAAAATGATTACATTTTTATCCTTAAATACTCTTTTGATTTGATTTCATGATTCCCTTGTCCTGAACAGCACTTTTTAAAAAAAAAATTAGGGTGAAATATTTTTTAAGCATTTGGTAAAACTTCACAATACCTCTTGGATTCTGTCATCCCAGTTGGAGACCACATTGTGCATACTCCTTGGGGGTAGGGACCATTTCTTATTTACATTTATATCTTTCCAAACACAGTCAATATTCCATAAGTTGGTGAATGACTGAGCCACCATAGTAAAAGCTGGGTTATGAATCAGTAACCAATTTCAGTATTATTTTTTTATCTCCACAAATGGAAGACAACTTAAGAGAAGTCTCAGTGTGGAAAGAGATTTATTATAAATCTAAGTGGTCCAAAGTCAGAAGTGTAATGAGTTCCATTTTAAGGAGGGCTCACTTTGGGCTGCATCAGTCAAAGGCTTCATGAAGGAGGTGCAATTTGTTTTTGGAGAAAGTACTCTGACATAATGCTGTGTTCTAGGGTTCTCTGGCTGACAACCAATTGCAAGTGCTCTGTCTCTAGGCTACCACTGGAGGGAAAGACTGAAGTGACGTATGCATTCCGGGAATGATTGGCTCCTTGCAAACAGCCACTCCTCATTCCAAAATTAGACATCAGTCACTGATACTAACACAGGGGATGCCTCAAAGGTGGCAAAAATAGCTCTGCTGCTGAGGGAATAACCCTAGCAATGTACACAGCAATGTCACTCTGCCCTCTTAATAGATCTGGGTTTGGAAAAGCCCTTAGCCACCATTTAGGCCAGTCTCCTCATTTCACAGGTGGGAAAACTAAGAGCCAGGGAAGTGAAATGACTTGTCTAATGCCAAGGTGTTACTAATAGAGCTGAGTCGTGAACTCAGGTCCTCTGACTTCAAATTCAGGTTTTCATTTTCCACTCCACCACACTGTCTCCTTCAGCTGGGATGCATTTATCAAATGAAATGAGACAGCCAAACTTTTCAACCTTGCATTTCATCTGGCCTCAGATCCAACCTACTCCCAAAGTCTTTAATCACCTTCCTTGGAAAAGTAATAAAATGTATAGAAAATTAGAAATGGTGGTAGATGACTACGGAACAAATAATGTTAATATTGAAAGGAACTTTAGATCATCTAATCCAATCTTCTCAGGAGAAAAGGAGGCTCAGAGAATGATGAAAATGATTTACCCAAGATCACATGGTTAACAATTACCCATTGGAACCAGAACCCAAGACTTCTGAGTGACTCTCAAACCAGTATTCTTTCCATGATACTACATTACTTCAACAAAAGAAAATAAATTTTCAAGACATGCTAGCAAAACGACTTTTAGAAATGTATTTCTAATAACAGTCGGCATATTCAGTTTGTTTAAAATTGCTAGAAAATGTTCTGACACAAATGTTTGAAAACACTAGGAATAGTCAACACTGTAGACAGAAAAAGGAATTTAATCCCCCAAACATATCAGAAACCATGAAGGTAAGTAAACATGATGAAAAGTTTATATTGTGATTCAGACAAGGGATCAGCAGGCTACATATCACACAGTGGGACCTGCTCTTTCCCTACAGCCTTCAGAAGAATTTGTAGGAGCTTCACCACATTAGCAGCAGAAATGTTTCTGACTAACTCAGTTAGTAGAAGCCTGTTGGTAATGAGATCAAGGTTTTGGGCTCAAGTATCAAATGAGCTAGGTGACTTCATTCTGTTCCTCAACCTACAACCCCAGCCCTCTCAAAAGTACAGACTGCTGGCCACAAGGGCAGCTAGGTGAGAAAATTCAAGTGGATGACTGCAAATCCATCCCCATTATGGGAAAGAAATTCTGAAGGAAGGTAACCTTTAGACAGTGGGTCAGCAGTATATTCTCTATGTACAAAAGAATAAAAAGAATAACAGGGTTTTTCCCCTCAGATAGAATTTCCAATATGAATTTCCAGCTTCTCACTCTGCTTTATGCTTCTTCAAAATTCACATGAACTTTTGAAACTTTGTCACTTTGGTTGAAACTGGATAAGAAACTGAAAAATTGCTCTTGTTTTGTAAACTTCAGAAGGACCAGAATTTAACTTTACCTTCAAGGAAGAAGCAAATTTTGCCTCAGCTGACACATCTGATCCCCTAATCATAGAACAACAAACAGACCAAGCTATATTATTGTATAATTATATTTCTAAAGAGAAAATCTCGACTTCTCATTTGCTTAATTAATTATAGGATAAACTAATAAGGAAGTTTTAAATAAAAAACATGTACCCACAAGCTGGGGCAATCCCTCACAAAGCTAGTGAAGCCAGTGGATGACTTACATGCAAGGTAACTGAAATAATCCTGAGTCAACTTTTCTAGACTGAACTGAATCCAATAATGATCAGAATCATAGCTGGCATTCATAAAGCACCTTACAATTACAAGTAACTTTACCTTCATTATTTCATTGGATCTGGTGTGTTAGAGAATGCAAGTATTACAAAAGGAGAACTATGATTTCACCAGTATAGAAAACTCCCAATTGAGTAAAATTCCCTCTACTTATGTAGGTTGGTGCCTTCTCTAGAATGCAGGATTGAGAGAGCTGTCCAGAAAACTGAAACATTAAATGATTTGCCCAGGGTCAAAGAACTAGTCTATTTCAGAGGCAGGCTAGCACTTGAACTCCAGTCCTCTAGCTTTCAAGGCTTGCTCTCTAACCACTATGCCATGCTCTCTCTGAAAAAAAAAAAACAAACAACTGTGTGTGCTTGCAATAACTATGATGCAAGCCATAATGTGACAATTATATAGGCTAGATCTAAACTTATTGCTGTGAAAGATACAAAAAGGGCAGCTAGGTGGCACAGTGGATAGAGTGCTGGGCAGTAAGACTCATCTTCCTGAGTTCGAATCTGGCCTCAGACGCTTATTAGCTGTGTGACTATGCGCAAATCACTTAACTCTGTTAGCCTCAGTTTCTTCATCTGTAAAATGAGCTGGAAAAGGAAATGGCAAACCACTGCAGTATCTTTGCCAAGAGAACCCCAAATGGGGTCACAAAGAGTTTCACACAACTGGAAACAACTGGATAAAAACATACAAAAAAAAGGATATCACTTATAACTGGAGGGCAGCAAGGAAAGTTGTGGGAAGAAGGTTACAACTGAGGTTCTTGAAGAAAGGGAACAATTTCAACAGGCAGATATGAGAAGGGCAAGATGAGCAAAGACTCAGTTCGGTTTGGTTAAATCAGAGAAAGAGAAAGAGAAGATATAGGATAAGGCAGATTGGATCTACATTGTGGAAGGCCTTAAATGCCAAGCTAATAAATTTGAAATGTGTTTCATAGGCAAAAGAGAGCCACTGAAGGTTTTTATGGTGAGCACTGCATTGTTATGGTGGAATATACACACAAAAGAAGTTACTCTGTACTAGGCACTGGAAGCAAGGAGATAAAATATGACATAGCCCCTATCTTTAATGGGCTTCCATTCCAGTGCATGTTATGTTAGAAGCAAATAACAAGTTATTGGGTATAGAAGCACATTTTTGCCCCAGATTGTTGAAAGTTCAACAAGAAACCCCATGGTTGACATTGACTGGTGCATCATGTTGGATAACAAAAAAAATTGTCAAACATACCATTGAATTTTTCACACTCTGAAGCAGACGCTCATGCTGCTCTGCTATAGCCAGGGCAGCAGAGTGTACTTTCTGATAAATGGCTTCTCCATCTCTTGTTTGAAAGATAAAAAGTCCTTCCCCAGTGTCACACATCCTGTCAAAATAAAACACAGAAATCACCAGAGATTCAAGTTACTAGGACAATTAACCAAGAGGGTCTTCAATACAATTAAAAGTAAATGAACATAAATTTATGAAGTGCCTATTATGTGTAGAGTACTTGTTAGGCACTTGGGGTGGTAGACGTTTTAATAAGACACCCATACCTGCCTTCATGGAGCTTACAGTCTAGTAAAGGCAGCTAGTGGAGGAGTGGGTCAAACATTGGGTCTGAAGTGAGGAAGACCTGAGTTCAAACTTATATCAGACAAAGCCAAAAATAGAAGTGTGGACAGTTAGTTATCTCTCATTAAAATAAACAGTGAGTCTCATGTTCCTGGGTCCCCTTGTCAGAATAGGCAGTTAAAAACATATCACATGGGAGGGATTCACAAGAAAGATTTCTCATGAGTAAATATGCATCTAGCTTTATAGGACCTCTGAGATCATCAAAATGAGGATTTCATGGTTCTATGATTCTACTTAGGCAATTATCAAACTACTTCTATCATCTGTATCCAGTACTAAATGCTACTCTCATGCTATGAAGAACATCCCCTGACTCTGCGCCTGTAGGCAGCTATACAAGTGGTTAGCTGGAGGAACTGATGACTTTCATCGAATTAGTTTGTTAACCATGTCGATACTTCAGTGAATCCAGAATTTGGGTACTTGTTCCATCAATGCAGATCTCAACCTAACCATACGTTAACTAATTTGTGTCCATGTTTTCCTAGGCAATAGATTTTCCAAAAAATATCAATGTGCTAGAGACCTTCTTTTTTCCCATTTTGTGGATCCCAGTATAACATTTTTTCAAGGAACCATATGCTCCTTTGACATCCAGTGTTAAGCGTGAATAGAGATATCACCTCCATTCAGGACCATTAAAAGACAAATGCAAATTTTCTTGGAGAGAATGGTGCATAATTATGAGGAAATTAATTAGGTCCATTCTAATTACATTTTATATAATCATAAAAGAAGTAGATGATCGATGATTCAATATGCTTGCTGGCTCAATAGCTTAAACTTATTTAGCATTTTGCTTTACAAAGCTCTTTACACAAATTATCTGATCTGATCCTCAAAACCCTTTCAGGAAGGTGAGGCAAGGATTATTATCTCCATTTCACCAAAAAGGAAACTGAGACACAGAGAGGTTAGGTGAGTTGTCCAAGGCCTTACAGCTAGCAAGAGATAAAGCTAGGTCACAATCTCAAGTCTTTCAATTCCTATATCCAATGTCTTCTTGACTACATCATGCTGACTAATAATATAGCACTCTGGCTATAATAAATAATAATAATGATGATGGTGACAATTAATAATAATAATAACTAGCACTTAAATATAACACTTTAAGGTTTGCAAAAGTACTTTACAAATATTACTTCATTTAAACCTCACAACAACCCTGGGAGGTGATTACTATTATTATCCTGTTTTATAGATAAGGAAACTAAGGTGGACAAATTAAGTGACTTAAGGGTCAGACATCTAATAAGTATTTGAGACTGATTTTGAACCCAGGTCCACAACTCTGTCTATCCCCTGTGCCATCTGGCTACCTCTTAGCTTTAGGAATATATCTTTCAGCAGATAACTCCAGTTGCCCAATATCACAATAATTTGTAGATAAATGAAGAGACAAAAAACTTTTTAACCTAGGAAACTGAGAGCACAAATTATGCTTAATGATTTAATTCTGGAAACCAGTTGTCCACACTACTCACATTTACAAGATAGCTAGCTGTTTATCCCTCTACTTTAGTTGGACAACATGAACAGAGTCACTGTTTTACTTATTTGTTTGTTTGTTAAATGAACTCCACTTGTTTGCAAACCAGAAAATCTCCCTTCATTGGAAAACACAAAAGGCTATCATCTGCTGTTTTTTTTCTAGTCCCTTTTCTTAAAGATTATTTGGCCTCTTCCTGCATTTTTGGTTTCTTAATCCTTAGTCCCAAATATATAATCTGTAATCTAGTGACACTGGCCTTCTTGCTGTTCTTCACAAAAGACATTGCATCTTCCTACTAAATTCATTTTTACTGGCTATTCCCCTATGCCTGAAAGTTTTCCCCTCATCACCTCCACCTCCAGGCTTCCTTGTAATTTGAGCTAAAATTCTGCCTTCTAAAGAAGCTTTTCCTGGTCTTCCTTAATTCTACTGCCTTCCCTACGAGATTATTTCCAATGTATTCTACATATATCTTGCTTGTACATAATAATTTGGAACATAATTACATTATCTACCTCATTAGATTGTGAGGCCTTTGAGGGCAGGAGCTGTTTTTGCTTTTCTTTTCATCACTAGCACTTAGACAGTGATGGATAGACATATGATAATTTGTTGAATTAAATGTTTTTTTATATGAAAAACTCATCTTAAAACAAGTTTTTTTTAACAAATGTAACCATACCTCATTTCTAAAATATATAGAGAATTAAGACAAATTTATAAGAATACAAGCCATTCCCCAATTGATAAATTGTCAAAGGATATGAATAGACAGTTCTCAGATGAAGAAATTAAAGCCATCTATAGTCATATGAAAAAATGCTCTAAATCGTAATTGATTAGAGAAATGCAAATCAAAACACCTCTGAGGTACCACATCACACCTATCAGATTGGCCAACATGACAAAACAGGAAAATGATAAATGTTGGAGAAGATGTGCGAAAATTGGAACACTAATGCATTGTTGGTGGAGTTGTGAAATGATTCAACCATTTCGGGGAACAATTTGGAACTATGCCCAAAGGGCTATAAAAATGTGCATACCTTTGATCCAGCAACAGCACTTCTAGGGCTATATCCCAAAGAGATCATACAAATGGGAAAAGGACTCACATGAACAAAAATATTCATAGCAGATCTTTTTGTGGTGGCAAAGAATTGAAGGTGAGAGTATGCCCATCAATTGGGAAATGGCTAAGCAAGTTGTGGTATATGAATGTAATGGAATACTATTGTGCTATAAGAAATGATGAACAGGCTGACTTCAGAAAAACCTAGAAAGACTTGTGTGGTCTGATGCTGAGTGAAGTGAGCAGAACCAGGAGAACACTGTACACAGTAACAGCCACATTGTGCAATGACTAATATTGATAAACTTAACCCTTCTCTGCATTACAAGGATCTAAGACATCTCCAAAGGCCTTGTGATGAAAAATGCTATCCACATCCAAAGAAAGAACTATGGAAGTTGAATCGGTATTTTTTTTCTCTTCTGTTGAGTTTTGTTTTCTCTTTCTGAGGCTTCCTCCTACTGGTTTTAATTTTTACTTACAACTTCTAATGTGAAAATATGTTTAATAGGAATGTGAATGTGTAGCCTATATCAGATTATACGCCATCTTGGGGAGAGTGGTGGGGAGGAAGGGGGAGAAAAATTTAAAACTCAAAAGCATATGGAAGTGATTGTTGATAAATCAAAATAAATTAATAAAATTAAATAAATAAACAAATAAATGTAACCATAGAACTTACTCAAATTTTGAATTAATTCAATGGGCAAAGGTGGGATGAGAGTGAAACAGTTAATCTAGTGGTTAGGCAAGTTTTGTCCTCTCTGAGCCTCAATTTCCTCATCTATAAAATGAAGGGCCTGGGCTAGATGATTTCTCAAATGCCTTTCTAGTCACCAAATTCTACGGTTTTACTACTCTAAGTCCTACAAATGGTCTAATGATTTTTGATACTCTAACCAATAATGTCCACTTCTCATCTTGGGAGAGATAAATGAAAACTATGGTATTACTAATGTGTCTCCAAACTCTAAGTCCATGCTCTAAGAGAATCCATATGTATTCCTTTTTTTATCCCTTTCCTTTCATATAATGCTTTCGTCTTGGAAGTTTTCCAAAATTCAAATGGAATCCCCATTCTGCCAAACTCTTTTCTTCTAGACTCCTACTTAACACAATCATGTAAAAAGAAAACCGGAGAAGCCAAAGCAATGGTCCTGAGACAATCCTCTCATGGCTTAACCTGCATGCCATCAGTCCATCCAAATGTTTGTAACAATCAGGGACTTTGTACCAGTACAGCGACATTTACATTTTGAATCCTTTAAGTATTGCAGTTTCTAAGAGACAGTGCAATTTCCACAAAGGTACAACAATTGCCCACCCCCAAACAGTGGGTTATATGTTTTGGCAGATGTGCACACATCTAAAGAACTGAATAATTATCATGGGAAGTCACATGATCCCATCTCAATGTTCACAGGTGGGCCTCTCCATTTTTCAAAGCATCATGTTCAAATACCTCATTTTGGTGGAGAGACAACTCTAAGTTCTTGAAGTCTATGCCAGCAAAGGGTAAGTCTGGACTACCCTATCAATGTTTTTAACATGAGCTCAGTGACAAACTATGTCTGTCATCTGAGGATCAGCATAACTACCCATCAAGGCTGATCAGCAGAAGTTACACCACTAGGTGATGACTCATTTGTCTGTGATGTCATCAATTCTTACCCATTTTTATTTTCCCAGATACAGAAGAGGAAAAAGAAATAGAGAATCCTAAGAATAGATAGCCTAGTGCTATACTAATAGCCTAACTTATGCAGTATTTTGGGTGGGTCTTCTTGGGAGGATTTATGGAACAGGTATCACATATGATTAGACATGGCTAGGGTGTAATTTGCACCACATGAAAGAGTACTCAGGCCAATGAGATCACCGATCTAAATACATTGGTAACACAATTTTTGTTTTAAGTTGGGAGTGAACTCAGTAACCAACCCATGCCCAAAAGAAATCCTCGCCGTAACATACCAAGGAAAGAGTTATCCAGCCTCTACTTGGAATCCACCACATCCCAACACTCATTCTACTTTGAGACACCTTTAATTGCTAGGAACTTTTTTTTATGTTTTGTTGTGTATTTTGTCTTCCTAACATCAATACTAAATTACTTTGGCCTCTTTGCAACTTCTACTAAAGGATTAAAAAATTGTGGCTGTGCTCTCCTGGGCCAAAC